TTGGGTCTGAAGATTGAGAGGATGTGAATTCAGAGTGACTTGTCATCTTCTTTTCTATAACATGCTAAAAGCCAATTAATAGGAAAGAATGAATGACTCTGCTATACAGACCAATGCAGAGAGATGAGTGGGAGAAAGAGTTAAAGATATCCACTTTCTGTCCGTGGATTCATTCTTCGATTCTGGCAGACAAAGAATCCGGGTTCCAGTCCAAAAATTCGGTATCATCACCATCATCACATCCTCATTATCACCACCACCACCATCTTCCTCCTCCTCCTCATCATCAGAATTAATATTTGTAGTGTTTACTTTATGCCAGGAATGGTAATGGCTCACAGCATTGCCTGGGGGGCTCCCCACTGCCCACTGGATAAGAGGGTGCTCCTTAGCCCCACATTGAAGGTTCCACACAAGCCAGCATCAGATCCTGCCACCATCCTGTCAGACCCCACGTGATGGCGACATTGGGTTACACGCTGATGCCTAAACAAATCGCACACTTTCAGACCCTCCCACTTCTGCTCACACTTCTCCCTCTGTCTGCTCCCCATGCCATTCTCTCCCTGGTGAAATCCTCTTCCAGTTCCTGATCCAATGTCACCTGCTTTCCAAAAGCTCCTCCCCGGGGGTTTATTCATTTACTGAGTCCCTCAGCACACAGCTGGGCACCATGAGTTATCCCTCCTAACCAGAGGACCGCGTTCAGACCCTCCCACTTCTGCTCACACTTCTCCCTCTGTCTGCCCCCCATGCCATTCTCTCCCTGGTGAAATCCTCTTCCAGTTCCTGATCCAATGTCACCTGCTTTCCAAAAGCTCCTCCCCGGGGGTTTATTCATTTACTGAGTCCCTCAGCACACAGCTGGGCACCATGAGTTATCCCTCCTAACCAGAGGACAGGGACAGAGACGAGCATTCTCTTATTGGTATTACTTTCTTTTCTCAAAGAGGTTGGGGGTAAATTTAGACTCTTCTCTGCTCCCCCATGTCCATTCCTCTTGTGGCACCAGATCCTGTTCTGTGGCAGAGACGATTCATGCTGGAAAGGCAGTCTCAGGCATGCAGTCCTTCCATCCCTGTTCGACACGTAAGAAAGGGCCTTGGGCCGGGAACAGCTCCTTACCTAAAGACCAAGGGCCCACATAGCCTGGGCAGGGTTTCTCACCTGTGCAAACAGATCTTTCCCGGTTTGGGTTTAGGATCAATGGGTGATCCTTAGTTCTGCTGAAGCTGTGTGTCCATGGCCCTCAGGCGTGCTCTCAGCTGTCCATATTCCTGACTCCAGGAGGGAGGGAGGGATTGTCCCGGCTGCACAATGGCCATGCTGGCTGCTGGAGCATTCCCTGGACTGGAGACCCACACACACTGTTGGAGCTGATCTTTCTCACTAAAGCATTGGCTGTTCGATGCAGTGCTTGACTGAGCTGTGTTTTCCTTGGCAACTCCAACAAGAGGACTTCGTGGGCAGAAGTGTTTGGACTTCTGTGCCTGGTCGCCGGCAGAGTGAGGATCTTTGCTTTCGTCCACAGAGTGGGAGTCCTCCCTGGCACTGGTAACCAGTGAACGGCGTTCTGCTCCGCAAGCTGCCTCTCCCTAGAATCTCAACTTTTAGTTGATATCCTGCTAATAGACTCATTTTCTAGAGTCTCTGGCAGCTGGTTGTGGCCACATGGCTGGGTTCTACTTAAGAAAATCTTAGCAAGAGTATTCTGTTGGGCCCTAACCGGTTTGGCTCAGAGGATAGAGCGTTGGCCTGCAGACTGAAAGGTCCCAGGTTCGATTCTGGACAAAGGCATGTACCTTGGTTGCGGGCACATCCCCTGTAGGGAGTGTGCAGGAGGCAGCTGATCAATGTTTCTCTCTCATCAATGTTTCTAACTCTCTATCCCTCTCCCTTCCTCTCTGTAAAAAAAATCAATAAAATATATATATTTTAAAGAGTATTCTGTGGGCCTCCAGGAGGCCTCCTTGAGTGGGAGGGGTGGTGTACCCTTCCCTCCACCCCTTTGTCCCAGCAGAGTGGAGAGTGGGCGCCATGGCCGGAGCTCCAGCAGTTCTCTTGGACCATGAGGTGACCTTGAGGAGGAAGCCTTGCAGCTGGCACAGCAGAGCAGAGAGATAGAAAAGCAGGAATCCTCCACCACACCCGGAACTGGGCACCTCTTTTCCGTAAGAGAGGAACGCACTTTCATTTGTTTGGGTTTTTCTGTTGTACGTAGCTGAGCTTGACGTGAAATAATAAAAAGTCCATGTTTTGTCTTGCTCACTTTTGTAGCTCCTGTACCTTGCACGGTGTTTGGCACAAACAGAGGTGCTCACGAGAAATGTCTGATCAGTCGTAAACAAATTGGGTATGCGTTTAATGGCCCACACCACAAAGACAACAGGAAATGGATGTTATGCCTGCGTATATACAGCATACGTAGGTATTTCTAGTTCAGGGGACATTTAGGGGGTAGCTAGGCATTTTCCACTGTGGCTCTTCGGACCCAGCTGGGCTGTTGTTCACACTCTTCACTTCTTGAGAGAACACACACCTTGCTTTCCCGGGAGCCCTGCTGCCAGGCGGGCCTCAGTCAGGTCACACCAGACAGACAGGAGGAGTGGCGGCAGGAAGCTGCCTGGGGGAGGTGAGGGAGTGGTTTCAGGATGATCCTTATTTAATTGTTACAAAAGATTACTGTCACCAGGAGCCAACCTCCAGGCCCCCAGCGCTTTGTAACACCGAACCTCGAGGGGACCTACGTTTTATATCATGTGTTTCTTTTCCAACACAGCGGGCCCACTGTTGACTCCGCATGCACAGCCGGCTGTGAAACCACGCTGTCCCCTGCCCTGCAGTTTTGCAGCTAGTGAGGACAAACAGCCAACTGACGGTTTTTCTTAAAAAATATATACCCACCCCCAATTTCTTAGGCAGTGAAATATATCTCTCCGTATGCACGCATTCCCCTTTCATTCAATCATTTAGAGAATATTTGCAAGAACCTGCGATATGCCCGGCACGGTTCACGGAGGTGAGGGTACCAGCACAGACCCAAATCCTTGTGCCCGCAAAGCTTAGCATTCTGGTGAGTCAGACAATCAGCATGTGAAATAAGTAAAATAAACAATGTGTTAGGTAGTGATAAGTGCTAAATAAAAGAATAAAGCAAAGAAGGAATGTTGAGGGGGTGGAATTAGCATTGTACATGGGGCCCCGAAGGAAGGGTTCATTAACGTGTGAATGAAGGTCTGATGAAAATGAAAGAGTGAATGATGAGGCGTCCAAGGGAAGAGCACTCCAGCCAGAGGAGCAAGAGTCCTAGAGGTGTGT